TTGCAGGAAGGTGTCTTGTGGGTATGGGACAAGGCCTTGCATTACCCGCTGGACCTGTGTATATTGGTGAACTGGCGCCACCAGATGTTCGAGGCAAAATAATGAGCTTTTGGCAAATGTTTTTCAGTGTTGGCAGTTTTCTGGCGTATTGGGTCAACTACGCCTGCACTAAGAACGTTCCAAAGCTAGGAAACTGGGATTGGAGAATGGTTGTTATCTTCCAGCTTCTTTTCCCTGCGATCATCTGTATCTTGATCTTCTTTTGCCCAGAGACGCCACGTTGGTATGTCCAGAAGGGCAATGATGAAGCAGCGAGGGAGTCTTTGAGGAAAGTTAGAGAAACCGAGGAGGAGGTCGAGGCCGAAATCCAACAAATTAAACAGGCCATTGAATACGAAAAACACGTTTTGGATGGAAGATACCTGCCATTGTGGAAAGACCCTTCTATCCGCAAGCGCCTTAGTAAGTCCCCTAACGACCCATGTCGGTTTCACGTTCAAATCCGCGGTGCTACAGTCCTAACTAAGGCTATTATTTTAGTCCTGGCTTTTATCATGAACTTTGGCCAACAAATCACTGGACAGGGATCTCTTAACAGCTACTCGACTATTGTTTACAAGCAAGTTTTCAGAGACAACTCGACAATCCAACTTATCAATGCCCTCAATGGAACTTTTGGTATCCTCTTCACGCTAAATGCAACATGGACAGTCGATAGATATGGTCGAAAATTCCTCCTCTTTGTCGGTGCTATCGGTATGGCTGTTTGTATGATCTGCTCAGCCAGCGTATATATTGGTACACCAACCGAGGAAGGAGGGGCCAAATCCACCGGGGTCGCTAGTAGCATTGTTTTCTTGATGTTCCTCTTCGCATTCTTTTACAAGCCTTCTTGGGGAGCGGCTGTTTGGTAAGTTGAATGCTCTATAAGCCCGCGGTCGTATTACCATTTCGGAAAACTGATTTGGAAATTTAGGATTTGGACTTCCGAGGTCTTTTCTATGAACGTCCGTGCCCAAGCTGTCGCAATGTCTGCTCAGATGCAGAACGTCAGCAATGCTATCGTCAACCAAATCTTCCCTCTAATCTTAAAAAAGATTGGGTTCAAGGCTATGTATATGTTCGCCGGAATCAATGTTCTCCTCGCAGTGTTCATTTGGTATTTTGTCCCAGAGACCAAGGGAATGGCGCTCGAGGATATGGATACTCTCTTTGGTGGCGTCAGTCATGCTGAAAAGGGAGCAGCATTTGTCGAACAAGAAAATGCGACTGGGGTTGCTAAAGCAGGCGCGGACTTGACCATTCATGAGGTGGAACATGCGACTAAGAAGGAAACTGCGTGAAGGCCTTTCAGCATTCGCATTGAACCTTTAGCTCTCTTACGACATCAATGTTTTTCCCTAACATATATTCTTTAAACTTAAACTTCTAGTTACGATTATATATATAATTTTGATAGTATTGACACGGGGTTAATTACCAATTATGTGCATATATCTACATGGTGCGTATTTTGCATTGGTTTTGTAGGATCGATGTCGGCCTTAGAACTTATGAAACATATATATATTATGAAAGAAAAAAAATTGGTGAGAAGAAGTATGACGGAATGGGAAACCTGGTTCTTATGGTGTTTAGATCTCTAGATGATCTCATTCCAAGACTGGGCGAGGCGCGAGGCCATCAATGTTAATCGTGATGTGTCACGAAAGGCTAGGGTGCACTGTCCAGGGCAGCATCCCTGCTCAAGCTTCGTACGCCCCCACATTGGCCTCGCTCTTGGCTTGACACCCGGCCTGTACGACATTTTGCGGTCCGGTGTCGTATTGCTGGTCGCGCACCGTCTTTGTTTAGACAGCCTCATGCACCTATATAATATATTTTCAGGCTCGTGTTACATGGCCATGGGCCATATCACATTCTATTGGTATCCGAAGTACAGCTCTCTTTTTCAACATCTGTTCCCGCCCGCCCGCCTCTGCATACCTCTTTCTTCTTCGCATTTCTTTCCGTTCTCCTCGTTTGAATTCGCCCGCAAGGGTTAAAAATTAGCCTGCGAAATTGTTGCTATCCGGCTTTTTGTGATCACGTCTCACAACTATGCAGCGTGCATAAACGTCTATGTGGGTCGGATCAACTTCAAAAAATCGTGGGGCCCTTGTACGAAAAAAAAAAGCGAAAATTTAAAACATAGCCAGAGTCCAGAGCTGATCCTGATCCTGATTTGAATTCTTATTTCAAAATGGCTCTTATCTTGAAGTTCGCAACGGCAAGAGTAAACTTTCTTGGCCCGCCGCCGAAGGTACACCTCATTATAGCACACCATTCTCGTCTCATTGCTAGATGCACGCCTTATTGCTTGAGGCTTCTGCAGGTTTGAGGCGACCGATGCTTCTAGCTCCACTTTCTTTTACCTTGTGCATGTAAGTTCCGGTAGTACAAGTGGACCTAATGCTTAGAAATGCGTAGAACCATAGAGGCCATATCGGATGGAGCAGGATCACGGATCGGTCTTATCGCTTCTATCGTGTGGAGCTGAGACAGGTACTCACATATTGCCTGAGCAGGCGATAAAATATATAAAGCCAGGCCTGCGATAACACAGAAGCTGCCCCGGCCCCCTCTCGTATTCCGCCTTCCCCCCAAATCTTCCGTTATTACTTCTCTGTCCCTGTTACTAAAAAGTATCGAATTATCGGCGCAAAAGCCTTGAACTAGCCTGCGTCTGGGTTTTCCGAAACGATCCCCAAAAAGTCATTCCAGCATCCAGCTTTCGCGGAGACGGGAACAGGCATTAGGCTCATTTACCGTTCCCCACTGCCAGTCTTCCCGGCCGACCGCTGCAGCAGGTTACTTGCTCCGTTCCGGACGAGACGAAAAGGAAAAGAGGGCACCAAATCCTTGGAATATTTTGGCAATCGAATCCCCAGCTTCTGGCCTCCCCACGAAATACCATCGTGACCCTTGAAAATCGAGTTAATCCGCGCCTTTTTCTTTCACTCTCAAACCGTCTAAAGCAAGCCTCTTTCTGTTTTTTGTATTTATCCCATGCACACCTGCTATTCAACAAAGCCAAGAAAAGAGCATCATATATTTTTTTTGCCATCCGATAGATGTATGGACGTGCGTTCTTGATAGGCGAGTAGACCTTGAAGCCGGAAGCACAGAAGTGGGGATTTCTGGCATCTTTTTCAGAAAAGGCATTGCCATAATTTATCTCAAAAGGAACATTCACGGAATTGAAGGAGGCATAATACAACCTTTCCGGGGTATTACTTTTGGGTACGCGCTTCAGTACCGCAGACACAAGATAAACTTGATATAAAAAGGAACCAAAAGGCTGTTTAAAAAGGCATCCAAAAATTGGCTTCCTTTTTCCTTTCCCTCCCAGCTTTCCGCATCACATTGTACTGCCTACTATTAAAACCATAGCGTATCGCGAACTCGGACCTAGCTTTATCCAATCACCAGTCGGAAACTTCTTTTTTAAATTTTCCAAGATATTTAGCTTTTGTTTTTCGACTCTTGAGATCTTATCTTCCCATCTAGTTTCCGAACTAAACCACCCCGGGTTTAAGGCCACCGCTGTCAAAGCCCCCCACAAAATAAGAGCCCAAACCCTGTTTTGATCTCAAGTCATCTATCGCCGCCCGCATATCGATATCGTTGGTATCGATATTCTCCAAATACAGCTGTACAGAGGAAGAGGGCCATCGATCGTCCATTCGGCGACATCGATATTACGAAAACCCCACGGGATTCCCCCACTCCTTGAGGAATTATAAATTCGGAGGCCTTCTCCCCCGCAATTCCAGCATGTCGAGAAGCAAAGTTGGTCTGCTGGTTGCTGCAGGCGTGGGCATTGCAGGAGGTCAGTTATTATCGTCCCATCCGTTTTCGTCCTGTTTCGTCCCAACTCGTCTAGCAAACGGTGCATGAGTATGGGTACCTGGGCTCTCTTTACTTTGATTATTCGGGTGTTGGGGCTAATACTTCAACTTTCTCCATGTCTTGCCAGGAAAATACTTTTTCGAGCCCCTCCTTATTGAGCAAAAGGAGAAGGGAGAGCGGGAAGCGAAAGCCATGTCTTCGCCACCTAAAGTCGAAGATCCGGCCCCACTTCAGCAACACCAAAAATCCACACCAGCGGCCGCCGCGACGGCAGTAGAACAACCTCAGGCAATCTTCGAGGTTTCGCAGACGCCTTCTTCCATCGCTAACACTCGAACGCTGGCATGTCTTCCTTCAACGGAGATATCTAAGAGCGCGCATCCCAATGACGCTGCGAAAATAATGGACCACCCTTTGCCGTCGAGCCCTCTTATTGCGAAGAAGATTCCGAGCAAAGAGGACTCGGGAGAGATGCAAGCGGAACCGTATACACAAAGCCCAGGCGGCGTGGGGCTTCTTGGTAAGGTTAGATTTTGGTAAAAATCTAGGATTGTTGTCTTCGGGCCTGTCTCCTGCAATCGTCGGGCGTTCATTGGCCTTTACGCATTGTGCGGGTGGGATTTGAGAAATTGCTGTAGAGTTAATCGGAGGCATAGTTGGATTTTCACCTTTTATAGCGACCGGTACGCATGTCTGGGTGGTATACTCCTCTCGTGCATTAATGTTATAATCCTTTTTTTTTTCCTTCTTCAAATTTTGGCGACGCTGGACCTACGTTACGAACACTCTTTTTTGTCTACCATTTTTTTGTGCTTTTCGTTCTGGTTCGTTCTATATGCAAAAGGGCCCAAAGCCAAGGCCTCACGTACTGAATATTGGCACAAACTACGAAGCAGTGTGAAGATTCGTGGAAGAGCAGAAGGTATTTGTTGGTATTTGTAGTGAGAGGCTTTTGTCACGGCTCTCCAATGTCCATGAATTTATCGCGGGTGGGATTTTTGAATGACGAAGGCTGGACTAGCGACTAATCTGTCTTCCACATGCTGGCAAGCGTAATAAACCTTTATATAGTCTTTCTGGATCTCTTCTTCCATCAAATCAAGATACAAGCGTTTGTGGTTTAGTGGTAAAATTGATCGTTGCCATTCAAGATTCGATTCGAATCTTGCATCATCGATCAGCCCCGGGTTCGATTCCCGGCGGACGCATTCAATTATTCTTTTTGCATCATCTACGATGCTAGATTTTTTTTGGTTTTGGTTGTGAAGCTGGTGATGTTTTGGAAGGTTGTGGGGGGAGAGGAAAAAATTTTCTTTTTGGCTATTTTGAGTTGGGATTAGTGTGGTGGCAAGGATACCACGCCTGGGTTGGAAATTTGAGCTCATTTATTCATAAGGGTCATCGGAATTCGGCAGAATTTTAAACATTCGTTTTAAGATAACGAAATAGATTAAATATAGTTTGAAATTTAAGGTGTAATCGAATCGACAGCTTCGGGACCGCGCGTTGTTGGATTTTTGCTGTCGAGCTGTCTCGCGTTGCATGTTGTTGATACTGATCACCGTATCACAATGAGATTGATATTTGTGTAACCGGTTTCTTTAATATAACCCTGGAACTACTGCGCATACATGTGCTGGATTTAAAAGGAGGAAATGGAGCTTCGCTTTAAGTTAGGATAGAACTATAAGCCCCCATTAATATAATCTAGCTTGTGTGTACTGGGGCTGCAAACGAGATAGAAGGATCTGGACCGGACCGTATCTTCGGCGGGGAGCTATGAGCAACTAGATCCGACCTAGTCCAGGCGCCGAAGACGAGCCCATTATTGATCAATTGATGACCGCGGAAAAGGGTCCAAATCTCAAGTGTAATAGATGTGGTTTCATGCCCCAAAATATTAAGTACATACAAGGAAGTATAACCAAACGATGAAAAGATTGTTCGTGAAAACTTCGTCCGATGCTCAATCAATTGCACTCTAATACAGCCCGCCAGTCTATGAACGAATTACCTGTATCTTACACTTCTCCCTCTCCAAGTTTCTCCCGCAATAATCAATCAGGCCTCGGTTTGAACACTCTCTTTGAGTTCCTCCAACCGTCTTCTCAATTCAGGTACAGCCCGAAGCTGCAACTCGAGTTCTTCCTTCTCATCTTCCAGCTTCAGTCGTCTCTCCGCATCTAGCTTGGTAAATACGAATCCGCCTTGGCCGTCAAACTGCAAAATGTTCTCGTGGTACTTCCACAGACTCTTTCTGTGGCTGACTGTTATGAGGGTGATGTCAAGCTGTTTGGCGGTTTCGTACATGATACGCTCGATGTCAAGGGTTTGCGCTGCTGTGCACTCGTCCAAGATTGCACTATCCGAGTGTTAGCTACTTTCCCCAAAACAGTTCTCATCTAGCGATAATACTCACAATTTGGGTGAATGGTAGAATAGTCTAGCCATGGCAATTCTCTGCTGCAATCCACCGCTCAGGTGTTCTCTCCACTCCTTTTCGACATCCCACCCGCCTTCTCTCTCAACAACGGACTCAATCTCTACAATTCTTAACAGTGCCATCAAATCGTCGTCTGTGACGCCCTTCTCAATCATATCTTTCAGTCCATCAGGGTAGATAACCTGCTGTCTCAAGGACCCACGGCTCAAGTACGGCCTCTGTGGAATGTAGAAGATCTCTTCACTAGGGGGCTTTCGCACTTCACCGCCATACACAGGCCACAATCCACCAAGGATTCTGAACAAACTACTCTTACCACATCCGTTGGGTCCAACGATCAACAGATGTCCTCCTCTCTGCACCTCAAACGAGAGTTTTCTGACTAAAACGTCGCCGTTGGGGCTGACGATCGGGACGTCCGTGAATTTAATGTAAGTGTCTTCGGTGACTGTGCCTCTTCCACGGAGGACAGCGGCGTTTTCTTCGGTTGAAGCCGAGGAGACGAGGTTCTTTTCGAAACGGCCGTTTGTGATGTCCTCCATCACGTTCAAGAGGGTAGATACACGGGAGGTGTAACCCGCGAGCTCGGTGATTTCCTTGTAAGAGAACATGACACGACCGAAGGCATCGGAGGACGAGAGCAAGAGACGACGGTTGGTCACGAAACCTGAATAAATATGTTAGCCTACTATACCTTCGATACCAAAAAAATCAGGTAAAAAGTACTCACTCTCTGTCCGGTCTCCTAAGCTTCCACCCTTCGCGCCAGGAATCTTGACGAACACCGGTACGCTGCAAAGCACCAATCCAAGCGCTCCCCAGAAGTACTTGATAACATAATCTTCCATGATTCCGTGGTACAACCTCTGCCTGAGGATATGGTTTACATACTTAATCAACCTGAAATATCCCTTATCAAGCGTCTTCTTCTCATTTTCATGGCCATAGTACAACGCCACTTCTTCGGCATTGTCAATGAGTCTGGAATGTTGATGTCTGAACTCTCCTTCCAATTTAGCCTCGTCGGCAACATATTTCCCGAACGGCGGCGTGAGAGCGCGCATAACGTTCGCGGAAATCTGTACGAGCAACGCCATGAAGAATAACCCTTCGCCACCGACGTTCCGCGAAAGCTGGTAATTGTAGATGACCATATCCAACACCGGTTTTGCGAGATTGGAGTACAGTTCTGCCAGCGAGTTGGAGAATTTACGGACGTCCTCTACGATCAGCTGGTCTGGGTTTTTGATCCGGTCGTCGAGGTTGCCGACGGAGTAGAAGATCATGTTGGAGAGATATTGGTTGTGAATGTGATTTGTCAGACGGGTTCGGTATTGAAGGGCAAGTTTGCATTGATGGTATGACAGCTGCGATATACAGAATTAGTCCCATTCGATAGATATTTCCAATATATAAAAATAAATTTTGTATAAGAAGGCCCTACCATGGAATTGGTGAATGTCGCCGGAATGGCAACCACCATCCACCATATTATCCCCAGCACAAAGTCCTTCCCCCGCCCCCTCACAAGATTCGATACGAGTCGTCCATCAAGTTCCGCCACATACAAACTGATCAGTGTTCTCAACACCAAAAACACCGAATGGCTAACCAACAACCTCGCTTCCTTGCTCTTCCAGCCAGGGATCACAATCTTCAGCAATCTGAACAGGCTGCGGAAGAAATCCCTATTCAGTTCAACTTTCTGTCGTTTGGAACTATCAGATGTTGACCGTGTGGGTTTTACGGCAGGCTTTTGGTCGGAAATGGCCGCGCGGACTCGGAAGACGAGGGCGAGGAAGGTGAAGAGATATAGCCCGCGGGAGATCTTTGTTTTATGCGTTAAATAGAATGTTAAAGATGAACTGAGAACGTTGAACAGAGCCGCCTGGCTGCCGGCGGGCAGCAGTTTAGATTGCACCCCCATCGCTCACTAGTTACTGGCCGGTCCTTGCTAGTCTTTAGGTCCTTCGGAGATAATAAAACTATGAACGAAATTTAAAATACGGTATGTGATGTTAATTTCAAACGAATGCGACGACAGCAACGGGTATCATGGCGGCGAAAGGGAAAAAAAAGTCAGCAATGAAAACGCGAAATAGATAGATGGCCAGTTTTAGTTTGTCGAAAGGACCGGAGTTTTATGAAGGTGGTTTGGCTTTCACATGTTTGGTTGGCGTCATGTGCGCTTCGGCATTTCTCCACAGCCAAAAAGGGCAGCTTCGCCTGGCCCCACAGCGCAAAGAAGGCAGCCCCAACCAACGTGCAACGGTCTTTTATAACAGCTGATTGTCAGTGCTAAAATTTGATAATTTTCGTTGGGGAATCAAATGCATTTAATTGGCTTCCGGTGATATCTTCTAGGCGTCTTTTAGCCTCAAGCACAAGCTCGCGGGCTCAATTGCTTTAAATTACTTTTCGTTCTCTTTCACGAGAACGGAAAAAATACGAAATTCAGCTCATTCAGCCAAGAAAGAATAAAAATGACGTTAAATTGCCTTTTTAGGAAACATTGGAAAATGCAACGTTGTCCAACGCAATACTTCTCGTGTTGGTCAGGATTATCGCTCCCGCCCCCGCGATTTTGATATCGAGACGCTAGCTCCATGGTAGAAAGTTCCATATTGTGAATCCATTGATTGGACAAAAATAAACCGTTCCTCATAATCTCAGGGCTACAGTTTGAAGACATCACGCTTTCCCTCCCAGGTCCTCAAATACCCGAAATACGGTTTAGCGTACTCCGTTTCATAAATGCTCCTTCCTTCTACGGTAAGGACGTTTTTAAATTTTCCTGAGGGCGCCTGGTTCATTGTAAAACGCTGCAGGAGGGGTTTTTTTCTAGATCTGAAGGGTTTATGCGGTTAGCTTGAACTATTTACGCCACTGTCATGATGCAGGAGGCTTGAAACTTAGGAGAGTGATGAGCCTCGATGTTCGTCGGGTAAATTTAACTATATGCAAATTAGACATTTTATATATAAATGTTACTATTTAAGTTCTTGAATATCCTCTACACATCTAGCTTTTTAATCTTTATTCCTTTCACGCACCGTCTTTCTTTCCGGCAGGTTTGGCAGCGCCATACTTCAATACTTTCTTTTTAAGTTTACTTCATACGAGGCCGGCCTCATTCATATCGTTTTTGGTTTCTTTCTATATTCAATTTTATATATTAATATATAATCATACCACGGTATTAATCAATTGAGACGACAATATTCAACCCTCGAAATTTAAATATATACACTTTTAATACTTGCCCAAAATGCATTTCACACAAACCCTCATCTCCCTCCTCCTCGCCGCCGCAACCCTAACCAGCGCCTCCCCCATCCTCACCACCCGCGCAAAGGCGACAACAGGGACAGAACTAAAAGACAAAATCCTCAAGGAAGCAAAACAGATGCGTCAACCAACCGCTCAACTAGACTTCCTCTCCTCCCTCCCAACATCAACATATGACAAACTCCTCGAGCTACAATCCCGCGCCGGTGGGGGTGAGGGACAACCCTTTTACCCCGAGGTGGCGAAGATGGTGCAGCAGGCTTACGGACAGTTGATGGCGGGGCAGAAACCGAGTTTCCCGTCGTCGGCGGAGTTACCGGGTCATACGGCTGTTATATTGGATTTGGACTTTTCGCGTTCTAAAACTACAGCTATGGCTACACCTACAGCCGCACCGGCGAAGCGATCCGTGGAACCTGCGCCGGTTGCGAAGGAGGAAGATGATTCGACGATATCACCCCGTAGCGCAAAACTTAC